TAACACTTTTTACAAACTTATAACTAGAGTAGTTTTGTTTAAATTACCATTCATAGAGCGAATAAAAAACATATTATAAAGATTTAATATTCTATAAGCTTTTTTTCAACTAAATATAGTAAGGTCAGATTGTTTATAGATTAGTTGAACTGCGTGTAACCTCTATATATATAATCTATAATGTTAATAATTCGATCCCCATTATCACAATTATGAAACTAACAAAATAATAATAAATAGATAAATAGAATAGAACTTGAAGGCCCATTTACTCTAGTACAACTAATAATTTGGTTTTTAAATTTGAGAAAGAGAATGACCAAATGACAACATGGACCTAATTAAGTAGGCCACATATTTCCGACTAGAAGATAGAGAGTTTAAATCCCTGCCCCTGTTTTACTAAAAAAACCAAACAATTTTTTCAAAATAAAAGCACACCAAACTTCTAAACTTCTACCTTTTTAATCTACTAATTTAACGAAAGAGGCTAATTTTTGCATCAAATCATCAGCCTTCTCATACTCCGGCTTCATCAAATGAAACACATGCCCCTCTCCGCCGTGCTCCACCGTCTCCGCCGCCCCTCTCCACCCGCTCCTCCTCAATTCCCCATCGTACTTCCTCCCTCCCTCCTTCAAAAAATCCTCCTCCGCCAAAAACACCGCCACTCTCCGGCAGGCCAGTTTCCGCAGATCCTCTGCGGCCGGTCTCAGGCTAGGATCGTCTTCCCCACTAATCCCCGGACACAAATACTTCCACAGCCTGTTATCTCCCCCATCCCCAAAAAACGGATGAATCAACGCCATTCCCCCAAATCCTCCGATCCCGCCCGGGAAGCCAGATAATGGCAGATATTCGCGCCGGCCGAATCGCCGGCCAAACAGATCCGCCCAAAATCGGCGAAATTGTTCAGCCAGGGCTCCGATCCGTCTCCGTTCGCGTGCGCCGCGACCCATTTCAGCGCCGCCCAGCAATCGTCGTAGCAGGCCGGGATCGGGTGCTCCGGCGCGAGGCGGTACTCGACGGAGACGGCCACGGCGTGGGCCCGGGCGGCGAGGGAGCCGACGTGGGTGTGGTATTGGGAACTGAAGGCGGATTCGATGCAGAAGGCGCCGCCGTGGACGTAGAAGAGGAGGGGGAGGCGCCGGCACGCGTCGTCGTCGGCCGCGGAGGAGGGGATGAAAATTCTGGCGGTGATGTGGGGTTGGGGCGAGATGGTGACGTCTTTGGATCGGAAAGTGGATTGGGGGTCGTCGGAGGCGGGGACAACGTTGGGGGTAATTAGTCGATGGACGCGGCCGTCGCTGAAGACTCTGAAGAAGGGGAAGAAATCGTGAGCGATGCCGAGATTTTTGGGGGAAGACGCCATTGATGAGCAGAAATGAAGCTCCGTGTAGAGACTTATAATGGAAAAGAAGAGGGCAGAGAAGGAAGCCGTGTGGCTGAAATTTGGTGAATATGACGTTATTAAATTTATGGGCAAAATACCATTTTGGTGCATAACTTTAATTTTCTTTTTGGACGGAGAATACAAAGAACCCACCACAACAAAACAGTACAAATATGTTGTGGGGGATTCCAACGGTATATACCAATTACAAATATGCTCTTCGTCTTCCCTTATACTATTTTTAGATAATCATATTTATTTTGGAAGAATATTTATGAATATGTTTGGGATGTTGAAAGTTATGGCTATTCTGGAAAGGATGCGAAACCTGCTGTTTATCCTATTCAGGTGGAGACGGACTGGATAGGTATGACTAATTAAGTTGTTGCGAAGGGAAGACGATGATATTACTGAAATAGCAAATAACGTAGGTAGTCAAAGAAATTTTATATCTTCAAGATGCTTGCGACGTCATCTCTTCTAATAAAGTAAAGAGGGATGGTAATTTTTATGCCCACTATCTCGCTCGCAGGGCCTTCGAATTAGAGGAAAGTGCATGTTGGTTTTCTTGTATCTCTCTGATTGACTGGCCTTATGGCGAATCAGGATCTTATTTCTTCTTGATAAAAGTCTCTTCTTTTCTCAAAAAAAAAAGAAAAAAAAACTATATTTATTTTGGATGTACTAAAATTAAACATTACCTTAGATAATTTATATGTTAAAATGTATTTTTTAAATATAATTGTATGTAATTTGAATTCATATAATAGTTTTATTTTTATTAATTTGATATTATATTTTTATGTCAATTTAGTTTATATTGAATAGTATGAAAGAGTAAAATAAATGAAAGATTACACATTAGATATCAATTTAGTTTATATTGGGCGGTCTATTTATAAATGTTGTTATTTGGTCTATATTCTTTTATGTTATACTATTGATTAAAGTTTATTTTGTATCTAATGGTAGCACATAAACATAATTATATATAATCATTTATGAATGAATAATATATCACATTATTTAAAAGTAAAATAAAAATGGAGAAATAAAGAAAATTGAGAAAAGATGTTATGAGAATAAAAAAACCCGTACTGCAAGAGGACCTTTAAAATTTCTTAGATGCTTCCGAGTCCCATATAGATATTATAAGATGCCCTAAAACTCTTAAAATCCTCCGAGTATCTATGATTGACAAATAAATATAGGTTGTCAATCCTATCGAAATTTTAGATTCTCACAAAACAAACCGTCGATAAGATTTATGTGCGTATTTATGCTCCTTTCTATCTTTCTCCCTCTCCCCTCCCTGCGACAAAAAGTGAATTTTGTTTTTTTAGTTCAATTTAGATGTTTTTCTTAAGTTGGGAAGTGGTTGCAATATTTAATGTGATTGGTAAAATGAAGTCATTTGTCATAAAATAAAGGATGTACTTCTTAGATCCCATATATATATATAGTATCGTGGAGGTGAGGATTCGAACTCTAACCTCTCGTTTGAAAATATATGTCAATTATTGTTGAACTATGCTCGTTTTGGCGATTCCATTTATATATTTGATGGAGAGAAATATGAAAATCATATATTATACAATATTATTTAATGATATTTTGCAAAAAGAAAAAAATGCTATTGAACGATATTTTTTTATTGTATGTTCGAGAAATTTCTTTACTTTTGGGGGATTATATGTTTACCTTTTAGTGCATTTGACAAACTTATTAATTGAACTAACTTCAGGTCAGCTGCAACAGATTTTTCTTTATAAATAAGAAAAAAAATAAGTCATTGGATTTTTATGGGGTCGCAAAACACGAAATTAATTATTAAATAAATATTTTATTCAACAGATACCAACAAGGTCGTTGTAGTATAGTGGTAAGTATTCCCGCCTGTCACGCGGGTGACCCGGGTTCGATCCCCGGCAACGGCGAATGTTCTTTTTGATGATTTGCGCTGCAGATTTGTTATTAGTTTAACTTTTGTTTTTTATGCAAATACAATTTGATCAATATTTATGGGGTGGTTTTCATTTCAACAAATGGAGAACTTCTTTTTTATTTTTTCCTAATAAATAATAGATATTCGAATTCACCCATTTTTTAACGAAAATAAATGTTTTAACTGGTTTTTTTTTCATAAATTTCAAAATGTTAAAAAATAAAAAATCTCCCTCTCTCTCACCCCATTATCTCTTTTGACCCTCTCTGGCTCCTAATCTATTATCTTGCATTCAAGTATACAACAACTTTTCAAAATTCTTTTAAACGTTTCGATCTACTTGACCGTCTTCACCCCCACCGCCATCTTCCCTCTTCCTCTACTATCACGGCTAGCCACCGGTTGTTGACTGCCTCTCACCATTTTCCTGGCATTGAAGAAGCACAGAGTCGTTTCCGACTGCTCTTTTCAACCATTGTTGATGGTTGATTACCTTATTTGTCCCTCTAGAATTAGAGGATTTCCATTTGCCACCGATCAGATTGCCATCCTTATTGGAAGTTCGTTCTCTAACTTTTCCATATTATTATTTCTTATTATTACTCAAATTAGGCACCAAACAATTTATCGGGTCAAGAAATCACTTACCTACTTAAAAAACAAAGGTTCAAATCATGCACCTTGTTGTTAAACTAAAAGAAAACTATATTTTAGAAATACAAATTAGGATCAGATGTAATTTTGATTTAAGATGACAATTAAATTGTTATTGTTGGAATGAACCATGTCGGTTACTAAGATCTAAATAATCGTCATCATGTTGGTTAATAACCGACATTGTTCTTACTATCATCGTAAGTTTACAATGACGATTAATTCGATATCAAAGTCAGTTTTGTTGTATTGAACTAAAAGGAAAAAAAAAAAAACAGATGGACAATTTTTACTAGTATGAGATACTCTTAGGGTTAGACCATAATCTCATACTATTTTCAATCAAAATGTGAAGTTGTTTACATCAAATATGTCCGTCCACAAATAGCTTTTGTTTGTTCTATAAAAAATAAAATAAATCAAACTTTTGTTATTGCCGTCCAATAAATTATAATCTAAACGGTAATAAACCTTTTTTAAAAAATATATAAAAGACCACATTCAAACTAAATAAAGAAAAGAAAGAAATTTAGCCAATATATGATCGCAAGTTATTAAAAAAATGTAATTACTAGTTATAATAATCCTTAACTTAAATTTTTATTAGCAAAAACGAACATAACTCAGTGGTGATGGACATATATCTACAACGGATTGTGGGTTTGAATCTCCTCTCCAATATGTTGTACTAAAAAAAACTTAATTTCTTACCGAGTTAAGTCAAGGGAAAAAAAATTATAAATATTTAAGGACGAAAAAGACATTTAATATTTATTTTCCTTTAGATAATTTTATGATTAAAATGGATGAAAACTTCACACAAATTACATGAGCTAATATATTTGCAAAATAAAATGAGTACAAAACGTCAACAACAGTAAATCACACAAGTGAATTATTATAAGAAACAACCCTACTAATTAACAACACCAAAATATTCCAATAATAATAAAACAAAGAAGTTGAATACAGGAATAAAAATTACAATATTTATCTAAATTTAAGGATATGAATTTAACTTTATTAAAAAAAGCATGTTGTGTAATATAAACTTAATTAAACATAAAAATTAAAATTACTTTAAGTGAGGTCGAAAGCCACTATACCAAGTACGATTCTGTTGATCACTTGATGCAATATATTATATTTAATCAAATTTTAAGGGCATGTGTCTCCGATTCCAACGTGGATCCGCTCCTGCAAACAATAACCTATTAGTCCAATTTTAAAAAAATACAACTTAAATTTTTTTTTTCTCGGAAGAAATGACTCAAAATATTTTGATGATTGAATTTATATATTTTTAAGAGCATAATTTTGAGTATTTTGTTATTTGTATTTTATATGATTTTGTTGATGGTTTCTTTTTTCTCATTTAATCTTGAGGAAGAATTAATTACCATATATATTCTAATACAGATTTTAATTTAATAAAATTAAAATTTACACTATTGGGCTAGATATAGGGGGAAAATATGATTTTGGAAACACCAACAATAGATCACATAAACATAAAAACACCACATTTTATACTAAATACAATGTTAAATTATGTAGACGAGCCTACCTAGGTGTAGCATTAATAACCTTCTTCGTGGGTCGAAGGTTCGAATCTGTGTGCCTGTAACATAGTAAAAAAAAAAAAATATATATATATATATATATATATATATATATATATATATATATATATTTTAGTCCGTAATTTTGAGTTTTTTACTTTTTATTTTTTCTCCCAACTTAGCCTATATCATTAAAAAGTTTCAGTTTATATTCTTATATTTTAAGATTTTTTAATTAGTCCTTTACTATTGATAAATGTTAAAATAGATTTTTTAATTAGTCCCTTACTATTGATAAATGTTAAAATAAACTATATACTTAATGAATTAATTAAAATTTAGAGTAAGAAAAATATAATCTTAAGATAGAAAAAACTTTCGATTCCCTCCAAATTTTCAAGAAATTTGTATAAAATTTGAGTTGTTTATTCTCTTCATGTCCATTTTTTATCCTTCCAAATTTCCACTGTTTGCATTATACTTATAAATTTTTAACATCTTCAATAATCAGCAACAAAATTTAAAAATGTTTAGAATTTGGGGCAGGAAAAAGCGAGTTTCCACGTGGCTTACGTTGATTGGATGAAGGAAGCCACCTGTTTCACCAACGTAGCAGCCTTCTCGTTCTCCGGATTAAACAAATGGAACACGTGGCCCTCCCCCTCCGTTTCCACAATCTCCACCGACCCCTTCCACCCACTCTCCCTCAGCGCCGCGTGAAACCCACGCCCCCTATCCTTCAGCCAATCATTCTCCGCCACGAGTATCACCACCTGGGTGCACCGTAGGCTCCGTAGTTCCGGGTTCGCTCTCGGGTTCATCCTCGGATCCTCCAGACCCGCCGACGTCGGGAAGATGTACTCGATCAGCTTATCGGGCTTGTCTATCATGAAAAACGGATGGATCAGGCCCAGCCCAACAATGTTCAATCCCGCCGGCCCATTACCAGCCCGGCCCACTAAGTTGTACGAAATGTTGGCCCCAGCGCTGTCTCCAACAAGGAAAACGCGATCAAAATCCGCGTGGTTGTTCAGCCAAATCTCCGCGCCGTCGCGATTCGCGTGCGAGGCGGCCCATTCCACCGACGTCCAGGCGTCGTCGTACGCCGCAGGGAGAGGATGCTCAGGCGCCAGCCGGTAGTTCACCGACAGAGCGACGGCGTTCGCTTCGGCGGCGAGGGAGATCAGGTGGCGGTGGTAGATGGCGGAATCGGCGGAGCCGATTGCGAATGCGCCGCCGTGGATGTAAATTAGGAGCGGGAGCTTTGTTGAATCCGGAACCGGCGGGAGGTAAATGCGGACGGAGACTCCAGTTTGTGGATCGATGAGGATGTCTTTGGACTGCACGCCGGTCCGCTGATCAGTCGACGGCGGAACGCGGTCGCCGGGAATGAGCCTCTCGACGCGGCCGCTTCTGAAGACGCGGAAGACCGGTTGGAATTCGAAAACTACTTCGTCGGCGGCGTCGGAATCCATGGGCGGAAGAGCGGAGCGGAGCGGAGGAGAAGCGATGGGAGAGTTTAGAGGTAAAATTGTTGAAGATTTTTTTCAAAAAATAATTGAAGAACTGGTTGGGGGAATAGACGTGATTGATGACAATCGGAGTAGGAAGAAACCACTTCAATCCATTTAAGGTGCTTTCGTAAATTTTTGAAAATTTTCCGCTTTTAATTTTTAATTATTCCTTTTCTAATCTCCAAACTTTATATTACAATTATTTTATATTATTGTTTTTCTTTTTTACAAAAATTTTATATTAACCGTTTATTAATGTTTGGAATTTGAATGCATCTCATAAATACAATGAGATGGCATTGAGTAACAATTTTTTTGTTTTTTAAATATCTCATTATTTATTAAACATAATTTAACGATTAAAATATAAGTGGCATTTTTAACGGAAGGTTCTAATACATAACTTAAAGGTTGTATTATATATAAAATCTTATTTTAGAATAGAACTTCATAAGGGGAAAAAAAAAGATTTAAACCAATTCTCTATTAAGCCAAAGTGGTAGGTCTAGTTTGTGGCCAAAAGACGAGTCTCATAAGTCCTACCAACCATAACCAACTAATACACCATAACCAACTACCACTCTTTGAGATGGGGCCCACTTGGATATTATAGTAATTTAACTCAATGTTTTATTTTTCCATTTTTTCCTTTTCTTTTTTCCATGAATTTGCACCAGCAAATACATAACGAATTTCGTAATTCAATTGACAAACATCTAAGAGTTTAGGATGGCTAATTTGCAATTGGCAAAGTGAAGCTATAATGGCAGGTAATTGTGCTAAAGAGAGAAAAATAATTAAAATTCTTGAAGGGATGGCCAAAAGCAGCGACAATGGAAAACACATGAAAATATGGAGAATTGATTCTCATGACATTTTTCATGAAAAAATATTAATGCTCACTTTTTAGAGACTGAGGAACAAAAAGATTTACATGCACAAAAATGTGACTAGGCAAGTTTTATTTTTACCTTATGCAAAATTTAATTACATTTCTTTAAAGTTTAAGTTGGTCTTTTATTTCAAGTTTCAAATCTTTTTGCTAATCGGGACTCAAGGGATTTAGACACCTATGTATGACCGAATGGTCGTGAATTCAAATTTACACCTTAGATGTTATATTAAAAAAATGGACCTTTCTTAATTTCTATTAAGAGGTTCTATTTTATTTATTTATTATTTTTCTCGACACTAAAGAAAGACGAAAGAGACAACTTAATTTAATAGGCTTTAGAAATAGTTGGCCACCAAAAAGACTAAAAGAGACACTGGCTTAATGGGCTTTAGAAATAGTTGGGCCTCAAGACCCAAAAAGAATCAATTTCTTGACAATCTAACTATGAACAAAAATTGCAATTTTAATTTTGCACATGATACTAATTTACATTTCCATAACATTTTATTCCACATCCACATTTTAAATAGTCAGTAAGGATGCTTCAACAAAAAAAAAAAAAAAAAAGTCAGTAAGCCGCACTTTGTTTCATGAGAATTTTAGATTTCTATGGGATAAAATGTTCTTTCACCATCCTAACATGTCTTAGCAATTTTAAATCTTCTTGTAACATGAGTTTTTAAGATTTCCATGTTAGGAGCATTTCTTCGACTTTATTCTAATTTGTTTCATCAATTTTTTATTTATATTTTTCATTTATTTTTAAAATAATATATACACTAATTCATTATAAACATAGTCATCCAAGTGTTCCCAAAAACAAAATGGTCGAACTATCTAAATATGCCAAACATTTATAATTTCACATATCTAATATTTCGAGCATCTAAAAATGCCAGCTATTTAGGGTTCGTTTGGTAACGTTTCCGTTTCTTCATTTTTAATAACGTAAAGTAGAATTGTATTAGCTCTAACACCGATGAAGTAAAAAATGATAAAATAATATTTATATTTATGTATTGTAATAAATTGAAAACGGAAACAAAAAACAAAAAAAATTGTTTGGATTTCCAAAATTTCTATACATAATGTTTCAAAAGAATGAGAAATAAGAAATATATTTAGTTATAAAAATGCTTAAGTTTTTTAATAAAATTTAGAAACGAGGAAAAAAATAACTTTACCAAATACGCTCTTAAATTCAAAAAAGAAAAAAACAAAATGCCCTCCAAGAGTTGACTAAACTTCCTAAAAGTGAGAGATTTACATTCCTACACCAAAAAAAAGAAAAAAAAAATTGCTATGCAAGTTTAGAGTATTCCTAGAGTTGTTCTTCGAAACTCACAAATCTTTTTTTTAGTAGAAATATGTCATTACATGCTTTTCTCTAAATCTATATAACATTTAACAAATACCCTATTTAACATTACAACCTCTCAACTTCCATAATAAAAATGGCTTGAAAGAAGAGAGACGTCCCAATATTTAGACCTTCCAATCTTAGAGGAGGTGCTGAGTTCAAGTTTTCTTTTCATGAAATCAATACTTTTGTGGGAGTGATGATTACTTTCTGTGGGGAAAAATCGTATTTTTCCGTTCCATCACCCGTCAGTGAAAAATACAATCAACCACAATAATAAGAGATATAGATATAAAGAAAAGCATAGAAACGACGCAGAGAATTTATACTGGTTCACCCCAACTATGGGCTACGTCCAGTTTTCCGCGACAACGGGTTCTACGATAATTACTGACCTTACAAACGCTCTACAAAGCTCTCTAGATGCCACGACAATGACCACCTAGCTTCTAAGTACTACCAATAAATACTTAAGAATATAGAACGAAAAACCTCACTAAACTCAAGAAAACGGGCTGCCAACAACCTACTACAAACCCTTGTTATCCTTTTGTTATCTACCAACAGTACTTGCTGCCACTATCACGTTTGTGCACCAACATAAAATGATTCAATTGTCATGACCAAAATTGAGGTAGGTGGCTAGCAACCAAAAATTTTGTTATAAAACAAAACCTAAAGAATTGGGCTTTTTGAGGTTTTATGGCCCATTTAGTTTTGGCTCCACTTTTTTTTTTCTTATCCCTAACACTTTCCATGAAAAATTTTAATTTTTCAATCGTTGAAATATGTTCAGATTAGATGATTTAGTTTAACAGTATTCGTTGATGTAGAATTCAGACCTCTTAAGTGGACGAGCCGACTTATGAGGGAGGGAGTTATTTGAAGGAAGACCTTGCAAATATAATAGAAAATAGATACTTCGACGTTCTTGTCAGTATTAATATGAGGTATTAGCTCTCAAGACAAGCAATCAAAATTGTATACCTACGTACCTATGGAGCGAGTCTTTGTATTTATTAGAGTAGACATGTGATCCGCGACGTATTGTTAGAAAGATGGTTGAATAGTTTTATGCTGAGCTATAAATTAGACTAAGGTACTTCGTAGCTGAATTATCATTTAAGATCGACATACCTACTTTATTGCCAAGCAAGATCGACGTACTATATGACCGAACTATTATTTAAGGTCGAGGTATTGCTCTTTGAAAAATTGATCAAAATTTCATATATCTTATTAATCTACTTATCCCATCGTTTTTCATCTACTAACCCTTTTTTTTTTTGGGCCAAGAAATTCTTCAAAGTTTCTATGGAAAATCTTCGTAAAAGAACAGTGAAAGAGATAGAAGGTCACATCACATCAGTATTATATTCATCTTTTATGGGATTAACTTTTTTTTTTCTGACGTTTCTTTGAAAAAATAAAAAACAAAAAAAGAAAAAAGCTTTTTTAGTTTTTACTTTTTATACGACGATTTTGTTACGTTGACCAGATTTGCCGACAAGTCGTTAGGGTTCAATATATTTTCAAAAATACCCCCAAGTTTGACCAGTCACACTAATAAACCGGTCAAAGTTTCCTATCTGGGCAGCCGCATCTCTGTCTCTATCATTTTTTATTATTATTATTATTCTACCCTCACTGTTGTTTTTGGACCGTCCGATCGGATCTTAATCTCGCGGCTGGAATTTGAATCCCTCATGTGGGACCCACCCGTTCCCCTGCGTTACACGCGCCGCCGCCCGCGTGAATATAATGAGAAATTTGGTAAATCTTTTGTTTTCTTTCTTTTTTTCTTCTTTGTTTAAATAAAGAATATCACGAAAATCCGTAAATATTTGTACGTCCGAATTTCGATTGTGGATCTTATTCAAATGCAATGCATCTTTAAATTGAGTCTATTTTCCTTTGAATTGCAGTACAAAAAGTTAAATTAAACTTTAGTATTGTTATCCGTACATAATTATTAAACAAATTATGGCCTTCTTTCCTAGAAAAAAAAAAAATGAACTTGTTGCGATTTTTAATTTTTAAAAAGAAAATTAGAAGTAGTTATAAAAACACATATTATTTTTATTTTATAAAAGTAAGAAAATTATTTAGTTACTAGTGAAATAATATATTAAGTGGGGCGGAAAAAAGTGATGAAAGGAGGGTCCAAGACTTAGTTCAAATCTCATGATGGCCACTAGGGATCGCAACGGGGCGGGGTCGATGGGGTCATCCCATCCCTCCTCGTCGGAGATTTTTACCCCATTCCCGTCCCGTCGGGAATTTATTTATTTATTTTTATATATAGATATTTTATTTTGATGGGAGTCAAAATTAAAGAAAAAGTGGCTAAATCGAAATTAGGCTCGAGTTTTTTTAATTAAAAAAGTATTTATAAAATTAATATATATTAAAATGATTATATATATAATATATAGGATCCCTAACCCGATTGAGTCGAGTACCCGCGGGAATCGGGTCTTGCGGGTGTTTTTGCCATCCTTAATGGCCTCCTATCCGAATGAGAATGATCATGAAACATTATACTAACAAGATGTATCCTCAAGCATGTTGAAATAACTCACGTTGGTTTTTAAGGACAATCTTCACTTTTTGGAGAATGTCGAATCCAGACTCCAAATCTGTACTCAAATTCTAATATGAATATGAAGCGTTATATTTATTAGGACAATTATTTATGTTTGGGCTCTAAGAACAAGTAATTGAAAAAAAATCTAATAGAGAAACTATTGATTGTACTCTAAAATGAAAGCTCATCTATCATAACCATAAATAAGAGACCAGATTGGGTTTCTATTACCTGTTAAAGTCATGTACATTTAATACGCTTTAATAAATAAAATTACACAGAGATCTTAATATAGCTTTTAAAACCAAGTTGACATAATTGATGGAGCATGAGGATTGGAAATAAAATAAGACAGATTATATATTTTCATTAAGTATTTAAAGACTAAATTTAACTCATGGAAAATAGTACTTCAACAACTTGCTTGATGCTCCTTCGAAAGTGTTGGGTGCAAAGTATTTTTTTTATTTTTTATATTTTGGTAAGAGCCAATGGATGAGACAAAGTTAAAAAGAGGCACACCCATGATTATATTATATTTTTTGTTTACAGAGAAAGAGATTTTTTTAATTAATAAATTAAATAGGGTCACAATTTAATCAAATATAATTCAAAATAAATTTTGAACAGAACCATACAAAATTAAATTTGTTTGAACTTAATTATGAACATGATATCTTAATGATTAAGTTAAGTTCGTACTGACATCTAAACAAATTAATACACATTTGTTACTCTACTACGGAAAAGTTTACCATTAGAAAAGAATTGGAAAAAAAGTTAGACCAATAATGGTTGGGCTTTAGCAAGAACTAATGCATAATATAAGTAATAATAATAAAAAAAAAAGGTATGAAGTGAGAGTCAACCATGGTAGAACATTAATTTAATTCCTTTGTATTCCATAGGAAAAGTCTGTTTTACTTCCCTACCCTATTAAAGACGTGATTAAGAGATCACATACAACCATAAATTGAAAGTAATTTTTCTTAGTTAAATAAAAATCAGACATTCAAACTTTTCGTCATTTCTTAAATCAACTATGCTTCCATTGGAAATGGAAATAATTTTAATTTTTTTTTAATAATCATTGGTTAAGTGATTGAAAGTATTTTTTTTAGATGTCGTATAGTTTTAACTTAAGATTACTTGAATTTTATCACTAAAAGTCACGTCTCCCTTTCTAATTTGAAGGAGAGCTTTTGAGTGAGTTTGACTTAATGTTTAAAATGTCGAACCTGCGTTTGCTCCGTGAGTTCGTTGGACAAGCTAATAGATTTTCGATCTTCCGAACCTATTTTCTCACACATTCATTTCTAAACTTGCACGCTAAACACAAGTTTTTTTAAACCCTCCACTTAAACCCTTTGAGCTTTAACACATTTATATATATTCTTAAGACATCTTCCTCAAACACACCTGAAAAGCTTCTTATTATTACTTTCTTTTTCTATCTTATGGTTAAGAAAGGAAAACTAATTGAGTGTAACTATATATGAAGGATTTGGTTCATACAATAAGCTCGTCACCAATATATATAAGAGAGGTGAATTAGTGTTGGGAAATTAAAGCACTCCAAACAATTTTTCCTTCCACTTATATTCAATAAATCACAATCACACAACACAAAAGAGAGATTAAAGAGAAACTAATAAACGACACAAAAATTTATACTAGTTCACCTCAACATTTATGAGCTCTTCCAGTCTTCTACTCAGATGCAGGTTCCACTAATAAAGAGATTGGATACAAGCACTCAAATATCTTCCCTAGATATTCACCTCTATAGATCCCAACTAGCTTCTAAGTATTATAACACATTATATTTAGGTACAGAAATGAAAAACTCACAATATAATCAAATATAAATTACCTTGAATACCTCGATCTTGATCTGCCTCAACTCTATTGCCAATACCCAAAGCCGTTGCCTCAAAACTGCCACAGACACTGATATTTTTGGCTGCTAAACCCTAGAGCGTTAAATTGCTGATTTTATAAAGTTGATAGAGCGTCATGACACTACGGACGAAAAAATTCGTCTGCTATTGTGCTGCAGCACTGCCTCCTCGGCCTCCAAAGCCTGTAGCGCTATGCTTCACCTGTTTTTCATCCCTCTTCGTCCCAATTAAATTTCGACTCGTTTCAACGTCGATCTGGCTCTACCAATCCCAACAATTAGAGACAAGAGGTAGTCATCCATTTTTTTAGCAAAGGATGGAAATGAACCAATAACTAATATAAATCATTATATCGTTTAATATTTTAAGGCTGTTTTGTAACTATTTCGTTTTTAATTTTTTAATTTATGTTTTTGTACCATTTCATTAGTAATTTTTCATCTCTTTTGGAAACATATTTGAATTCTTAGTCAAATTTAAAAAAATAAATTAAGTTTTTGAAAATTACTCATTTTTTTAAATTTCAAAATTGGCCTAGATTTTAAAATATTTATAAAAACTATATAACAAACAAAGTAACAAATATGTTTCTAAGCTTAATAATTTTTAAAAACATAGAATAAAAGATGAAATGGTATCAAATGAAACTTTAAATTTTAGTACATTTTTTAACACTTATGTACTTGAATTGATCCGAATGATTTTAGGTATATAGACAAAATCTCGATCACTGTAATGAAGTGAGAAAAAATCCAAGGAATGGACAAAAAATTTTCATTGAATTAACATCAGGACAAAAAATTGTGGTTGAATTAACATAACTATATCGTCAAATACGGTAGTTAAGAATTTTAATGGAACCCTTCACTGCATAATGAAGAATTAGATCATTATTTTTTGAATACAACACGTCAGGGTAGAAGATCGAATTCACAACTTTTTGATTGAAGATATATGTCATGCCGAACCATTGACATCGTAACCAAATAACTATGAGCCTCGTAATTGTAATTCTATATAGTTGAAAAAAGAAATAACCTCATATATAATGTTTAAGGGGGGGCTAAATTAAAAGCGAAAACTTAAAAAAAGTGTGTTCATTACTTTATTATATTATATGATTTCGGTAAAAATTAGTGCAGAAGGGCAATGATTAGAAAAGACTAAGAAAGAGCACCCTGATGGGTCCCACCTTCAACACGGACACGTCGGCAATAAAACGCGGTGTTACGGACGCCGTTTCCTTTACACGGAACGGGACACTCCGCCACCACCCGTCGACCGCCGTCCACCGCCGCGGACGACCGCCCCTTCTCTCTCCTCTCTCCTCTAATATTATTTTATTCGAACCTACCATTCACAATAAAGCCTCTCTCACAATCCCCATTTTCTTCCTCTTTCTCTCTCTCTCTCTCCTCTTCTTCTTCAGCAGCCTCTCTCTCCAACCTGGTCTCACTCTCTCACATCCAACCAGGGCCGCCGTTGCCGTCTATATCGCCGGAGAGAGAGAGAGAGATTAACTAAAAAACCAAAAAAGAAGGGCGGCGGAGCGGAGAGACTTCAACTCTTGAGGAGATCATGGCGGCCCAGCCTTCCAACGGTGCTGATCTCAATCCCCAGCCACCACACCCCCACCACCAATGGTTCCAACAACAGCAGTATCAGCAGCAATGGATGGCGATGCAGTACCCCGCCGCCGCCATGGCCATGATGCAACAACAGCAGATGATGATGTATCCTCCTCAGCATTACATGGCTTATTCTCACCATCCTTATCAACAGCAGCAGCAGCAGCCGCAGCAACAGCAACAGCAAGCTCAGCCGCAGCGCCCTCGTAGACTGCAGGGGTCAACGGACGAGGTTAAGACGCTTTGGATTGGCGACCTTCAGCCGTGGATGGATGAGACCTACCTCCATAGCTGTTTCGTTCACACTGGCGAGGTTTAATTTACTTCTCGTATTCAGTTTTTTTGAATGAGTCTCAATCTGTAATTGTTCTTCGAGTTCCTGTTAGATCGTTTTGAGACGTGATGTAGTGAGATCAATCGGATTTTTACTTTATTTTCGCTTATGCGTTCTAGAATAGATTTGAAGTCTGTCAATCTGTGGTTGTTGGACGTTATTATTGCTGCATCTTTTACTTTCATTAAGAAAGTGAATTTGGTGGTCCAAAACGAGTTTAGCCCATGGGAGAAGAATGGTTACTAAAGAGGGGATAAATCCTAGTCTGATTTATTTATGTATGAAGTATGAACATCTCTCTTTCTCCATCCATAACTAATGAGGCTAGCACTGGAAATTTTTATTTTCGAATGTGCTTTAATTCCTATACCTCTGTCCTTATTTTGATGCTTCAATGATCCTTAGCATTTTAATGAGAGAGGCAATAAAATCACAGTTAATTTAAGTGAAATTAATGACATTTCGGTCCATAACTAAGTAATTGTCATTTTCATACCTAAGTAGTTCTTAGATTAGGATGTTTAGCATTACATCTAATCGTTATTTGATTGTATGGAATTTGAGATGGAGTAGTTGGGAGAATAAGCTTTGATTTGTAGCAGCTAGAAACATGACAGCTATCTTCCACTTCATCCATGCCCTTTGTAATGCAATTAAAATTTCTGCTTCCTTTCCTCATGATTTCAAGAGATACATATTGGTTCTAATTCAAAATAACTTGTATTTTTGAGTTTGAGCTCATTCTTTCCAGAGTTTCTTGTCTTAAAATGTAATTCATGAATTAATTTCTTTAAACAGTATGTTTGCTCTTCAGTGTCATTGTATATATTTATATACTCTTTTGAATGAATTATTGTGTACGGTAATGTATGGTTACCATTATTTTTAATTCATTTGTGCAGCCTTTTTGAGTTACATATTGCCTACTTCTGATTCTGGTTTATATCGGTCAGTGTTTAGATGGATAGCTGCAGACTGTCTTTTATGTTTCTCTTGTCTATTTCCATCTAAATCGGTCTCTGTCAAGGACATATTTTTTGATTATTAGTTGTGACTAAAGTGTTTCTCTTCTTTTTGCTTCATGAACATGCAGGTTTTCTCTGTTAAGGTTATATGCAATAAGCAAACTGGTCAATCTGAGGGCTATGGATTTGTTGAATTCTATTCACATGCTACAGCTGATAAAGTCTTGCAGAATTATAATGGTGCTATCATGCCAAACACAGAGCTGCCTTTCCGTCTCAATTGGGCAACCTTTAGTGCAACTGATAGGCGACCGGACACTGGCTCTGACCTATCTATATTTGTTGGTGACTTGGCTGCTGATGTAACTGATGCTATGTTGCAAGAAACTTTTTCTAGTAGATTCACGTCTGTTAAAGGGGCAAAGGTGGTTATCGATTCAAATTCTGGCCGTTCCAAAGGTTATGGATTTGTCAGGTTTGGTGATGAAAATGAAAGGACAAGGGCTATGACTGAAATGAATGGAGTTTATTGTTCAAGTAGACCCATGCGCATTGGTGTTGCAACACCAAAGAAAGCATCTGGATATCAACAAGGTTATTCTTCACAAGGTTAGTTGGTTCTTCTGGCATCACTGATGGCTGTCGTTGTTTTGTAGGTAACCGCAAATCATCATAATCTATCTCTATTACATACTCGATGGATGCATGGGCTTATATGCCCCTGTCCCTAGCCACGTGTGCACACATACTAAAAATAGTCCTTTAGAATTAGTTCAGCGGAAAAAGGGTGATGGTTCTGAAGCTGGGGGTTTATCTTTAGCAATGGATATATTTTGTTATACAAGTAGAACACTCTTAGAACACGAAATCTGTTATGTTAACACTGTACAGTATATGCATTCTTAACTCAGTTCCTTTTGTTTCACTGAATCTTTCTCCCTATAAATGCTAAGCCATTTCAACGATATTGATTTTTTTTTTTTATTATAAGAGACAAGAACATATTTATTATGACTTTTTAACTGATATTTTTTTTAACAAGAAATGAACTTTCCATTGATTGATGAAATGGAAAATTGTTCAAAGATATAAAATCCAAAAGGAGTGAGAAGAGAACAAAAAGAAAGCAAAACAAAAAGATAAGACTTTTTAACTGATATTATAATATTGATATACATAATACACACAAATATATGTGTATATATATGAAGAACAATATTGATTTTCTAGTCGATGGATATCAGTGATATTGTCTGTGGATCTACTATTCTATTTGTCATGCTTATTGCCACGTTATTCTTTATTATTGGACATGCAAGTTAGATGGTATTGCGACTTTTTAGTACTATTATTTAGATGACAAGTATGTATATATATTTTTTTCTTCTTTTTCTTTTTCCGTCCTGTTGTAAGGATAAGAGAAGCATCATTTTTCAAGAAGTTTATGGAGCTAAGGCTAACCTTCTGGCCAGTATTAATGTTTTTTCGCTGTATGTCTACTTAAAGTTTGGTATTTCCATCTGTTATGTGCATGGTTCTTTTGGTATCTGTCCAAGTAATATTTTCTTTTCACGAATGGGTTTTACACATTGGCAAAGCTGAACTCGTGTTTACATTCTATTTCTTGTGCGGAAGATGTTATTAATTTATTTTGAAGTTATAAGGGGTGACTAAAATGTAGTTTATGTGTTCTCAACTTGTATTTGATACAAGATATTAACTCTGATGCCGATTTTTGTTTTTCATTTTGTTTAGCTTTGGTATTGGCTGGTGGGCATGCAAATGGCATGGCTGTTCAGGGTTCACAACCAGATGGCGAGTCAAACAATACGACTGTTAGTCTAGCACTCCCTGTCCTATATTAATTTTATTTTTGCCTACACATACCTAAATAACTTGTGATACTTCAGATATTTGTTGGCGGCCTTGATTCTGACGTTAGTGATGAAGATCTCAGGCAACCTTTCTCTAAATTTGGTGAGATTGTCTCCGTCAAAATTCCCATTGGAAAAGGATGTGGATTTGTGCAATTTGCCAACAGGTATTCTTCCTCTGTGGAGCTTTCTGTTTTTAAACATGCAGCTGCCATGTTGATCTTTATATCTTAAAAAGTAATCAGGGGTTTCAAAATAGGAAGGTCACTCAGGCCCATGTTGTATTGACCCGTGAAATAACAACCTGTTTTTGCTTGCCGTAGTAGTTGCATATTGGGTATAAGATTTATGTCCTATATCACTATATGCCTGTGTCTTCTTTTAGGAAATTTTGTGTTGGGTTGGTAAAAGAGTGCAAACAAAGTCCCATATTGGTTAGGGAAGGGACTGATGCATGATATATAAGTAAAGGACAACATATCTATTGGTATGAGGCCTTTTGGGTGAAACCAAAAGTAAAGCCGTGGGAGTTATGTCCAAAGCGGACAATATCATACTTTTGTGGAGATATTTGGGGGTACGGGAGTACTGTTGAGGCTTATAAAAATAGTGGTAGATATAAATTTTAAAAAAGTAATGGCCAGTAGAACATTTTTTTAAAAACCCATTAACTACTTATTGATTTTGTTATTGTTACCATTACTATTTTACTTCTTATGGTAACTGTTGATTTACTTATTGATGATCGACCTTGTATTGGTTGTCATTATCATGCAATCACTCATTGACATACGCCCTTATTCTTCACCCTATTTTTTATTTTGTTTCTTTTTTCTTTTTAGCTTCTATTTATGCAAAAGTTGATTTCGATGTTCATTATGTTAATACTTGCAATAAGCCCCTTCTTTTATAGAAAAATACACGCATGTCTGTTCCCACCCTGAAAGGTTATGTTGACATTTGAAAGATTCCAACATCTTGCACTTGACCTCCAGCCCCTAGTTTATTAGGAACTTTGAAGTTTTATAGAATAGCCAAATTAAATGAGGACATAGTCACATGGCTTTTTGACGTGGAGCTGAACTTCTTTTTACCAAGTTTTTTGCAATCATTTTAGTCCAGATTCAGAAAATTTTGATCATTGCAAGGCGGTGCTATCAAGCCATTAGGAAATCTCCCAAGAATTAAATGTAGGATAGACATCTTAGTACTTTCTTTCTTAGTCCCTGGCTTTCACTTGGGTGGTTTTCTTGTTTATAATTTCATTTTTTTTCTTGTTTGATTAGAAATCAATAAAGAAATAAACAAGGAACAGCCTAAATTCCCATGCCCAATAGAAGAAGGATCATACAAAGCTCCTTCAATCTAAGTTAAATTGATTATAGAATCAGAATAGTTGCATAATATGTTGTGTAAGACACTCTAGTTTGAAGCTGTAAACCATTCAATCGCACAAAAATCACAAAATTCTTTATCACTCTAAGGAGTTCTGTAATTATTCTTTTACCCTTATTATTGATTGGATCCCTTTTTTGTATCTACAAAACGTGTTTTTGTTTTGGCTTTTTTGTGCTGGGATTTTCCTTTTTTAAGGTGGCTTGTATTTTTTTTTTTCATCCTTCTCGATTAAGACTAGACTTTTCATTTAAAAAAAAAAATTCCTATAGTTTGTTTCATTCAACAAAGAAAAGCTCTTGAAGCACTTAGCCTAAGCGTTCTAGTTTTATTTCTTAACCGCCAAACCACATAGGATTTCAGGAAGCCAGCTTTTGTTATCTCCAGGATGATACCAAATGAAGCCAAAAGTTTGAGGGAAAATTCCAACTTATTTTTTTAATTAGTTTAAGTTTGCAACTATATGTTAGATTGCTCATAAGTTGGAGTTGGAGCATTCATTGATGGCAAGCCAAGAGATAAACTCTTAGCTATCAGTGGTCTTCGACAAGGAGAAAAGGAGGCTCCCTCTTATTTATTCCTCTTCATCGTTATGGTGGATTGCTTTAATAGATTCCCTTCTCAATGATCCTTTATTCGTCTTACCAAGGGGTTTTGTTTGGGGATATCTCCCGTATCCATCAATCATTTAGGTCCTTTTGTATTCTTTCTTTTTCCTCAATGAAAGTTTAGTTTTCTAATTAAAAAAATGAGATCTTTGAGGAAGCTTAAAAAATTAGTATTAACCATGTGAAATTAGAATTATTGGGGATAAATATTGCTGATTAATGATTCAACCCTTAAAGTTTTGCGGATAGATTTGATTGCAAGGTTGGCTCTTAATCAAGTGATTATTTCGGGCTTCCCCTTGGTGGTATACATTGTTCCGCTTCATCTTTTTTTAGGCTCCCATTGCTCTGATAGAATAGACAACAAGCTTAAAAAATGGAGAAATTCATACACATCTCCAAATGAGTTCGTCCTACAATTATACAAGTCACGATCCATGGATTTGGAGGTACATCATGGAGAAGGAAGCCCCCATGGAGAGGTTCAGGGAGACCATTTGGCTCTAGAGGAATTTCTTTTGAGCCTACAGTCCATACTTGCTCACGATAATCCTGGGCCTCAAGGAGTTAGGTTATGAAGGAACTGCCACAACCATTTGGCTAACAAAGCCTCATTCTTATGTCTCAAGTTCCCAACGAAGCCTCAAGGAGTTAGGTTGGATTTTGAGTGTTTTATTGGCTAGATTTTAGGTGATTTGTTGATAGTCTTCTAAACAGAGTCTTGCTTTGATACTTATTCAAGTTTGGTTAAAACTGACTCAATCATCCAATTACATGGATAAAAGTATGGGTTTTTTCCTTAAAAACTATGTAATCGTGGGTACAAGTGAACAAGTACATGACTTATCTTTGCATACTTTTTTTTTTCGTATTTTGTAGAAAGAATGCTGAGGATGCAATACAGGGATTGAATGGAACTGTAATCGGCAAGCAAACAATTCGTCTTTCTTGGGGTCGAAGTACAGGGAACAAGCAGGTTCGTAATGTTATTTTTCTTTTCAAATATTTGTTTCATTTTACTCGTCTTTGTGTGTGTTTTTAGATTATTAGTTGTTAGCGTATGGCCTAGGATCTGTAGAAATTAAGAGTAGGGATGGACTTTGATGATTGTGCGTATAGAGCTATGACACTTGTTAATACACTATTGGATACATTGGACCTTTCCTGCTGATGACTGCGCAGTCGTTGCCCACCACTGAGATTTTGACAAATGGGAGAAGAGAACGGAGAGAGGCTATTTTCTTTCAAAAAACTAAACACGTCAAAAACTTAGTGGTGGACGGTAGGAATTTTCTTATCCCTTAGTACGCAGGGATCATTCTTGGATACATTGATACTCCAACATCCGACGAGCATGTCGTCTGGCAATTATTGTACAAAAGGAATATGGACCTAAAACAAAATTACAGGAGAAAATAGTAAGAAAATGATCAAACTTGAATATTTCATGGCCTGATTCACACTGTACCTTTCTTAGGAGCAATAATCAAAACTTATTTTTCCCTTTGATGACAATCATCAACGATTTCATACATTCCCTTTTCTCCTTCTTTGGTTGCAACAAATAGAAAACAATCCTTTTTTCCTCTATCATTCTCTTCTAATACTTGAGTTTATATTGGCAGTGGAGAGGTGATTCTAACAACCAATGGAATGGGGGGCGCTATGGAGGGCAAGGTTATGGTGGGTATAGTGGATACTACTCTGTACCACAGCATCAGGACACAAACATGAATGCCACAGCTGCTGCAGAAGTCAATGGTTCATCTTGAGAAAATTAAGGGTATGGCCATTTCCTTACCACCAACCTATCAAACTGAAATCTGAGCCTTCAGAACACAAATCTCTTAGCCATCAATATATTGACTTTGTAACAGAACTTATTTAAGTTGTGCTTAGCTGAATCTTTATTTGCTGAATCATATGGCTTGATAACATTATTATTTTTCTCTGTTGGAGTCATGCTTGAGATTAGACTGCTGTAGCTAGATCATCTGAACAATTTTGGGGTCTGTGTGGGTGGATTTTTCTTGGTTGAGGGGGTACTTCTTTTTTTTTTTTTTTTTTTTTTTTTTTTTATTTTTCTCTTTTAATTTCCAATTTACAGATTATTATTATTTTTTCATATATAGATGCTTGGAACCATACTTCTGAGAATATATCCTAATGACATGAAATCCTTAGAATAGTAGTGTTATTCCATTATTCAGATTTTGGAATAATTATTATATTGGATGTATTTGCTTTTAGTTTCAAATGAAGTTCAGTTCCACCCTTCAGCATTTTTCTGCGTCACGAAACTAGAAATCTAAAAAAAAAATGGATTCAATGTAATCCAAAGTTGTATTTTCATGTTTTTAGTGTTTTTGAATACCTGTGTGGTAGCATATTTGAAAATTGAATCTCAATTTAACAATTGTTCAAGGTGTGTTTAGTAATATATTTGTAAAGCATGGTAGTTACCAATTAAATATTTAGTTCAATCTAAAATGTTATTAATTAATTTATTAACATACATGTTATAAATTTTGTATAATTATTATTTTATAATATTATGTAATTTATTATATATTATGTTTTAAATATTTTAATTTTAACAAAAATAAAATGAATTTATAATATTTATAAAAATTTTTAAAATCTTTTTTAATGTATCTTACATTTTTAAAATTTTAAATTTAGAATTTAGAAACACTGAAAATTGTTTTCAGAATTTCCACTGTTTGGATCACATAATAAAAAATTAGTTTTTGAAAACAAATTTGTCAAAATATATGTTAAAAAACAGAATCCAAATTCTCTATCGACTAGGCTCTTAAATCTTTAGAGAAAAGTTCATGTAGGTCCAACGGATGAATATTAAAATCTCACAGGATTATTTTTTGGTCTCTAAAATTTCACAATGTCTATTTTAGTTTTCAAACTTTATACCGAATAATTATTTGTCATTATTGTAGTAGGAAAATGATATGACTCTGATAGCGCATACATGTTGATCTAGGCATTATAAGGTGGAAATAAGTAAGAAATGAAAGTTTAAAAGGAAAAAAAATATGATAAAATCTCACTATGTACTAACAATTTCCTATTTCTTTAAATGGTTATAGTAATTTAAAAAGTTATACATGCAAAAATCTTGCTCCATGTTGAAGACCTTAAATATTACCTGAACTTTTTAAAAGTCTTTTTTTTTTCATTTTTTTTTGGCACAAATTAATGGTTCCATGGCCTACACCTATATACGAAATAACAAAAAGTGAAATCAAAAGTGAAATCTGTTGGGGATAAAGTAGATTAGCTTTCAATTATTCCTAGTGTGTTGGGATAAAAGTTTTTGCCACCATGTATTTGAAACTGAATTGTTGGAATTAATTTAATAACTAGTTTATAAGTGAGTATTTAATAATTAATTTAAACAAAGAACTACTTATTCAGGTAATTTAATAGGTGCGTTAAGTGATTTTAATTATGAGTTTATAAACTTTTCAATAAAAAATATGATTGATTTTTTTTTTCCTTTTTATTACAACATGTGTGAGATGGGGACAAAATTCACAACGGTTGGAGATATATGTTAATTACTGTTGAGTTATGTTTTTTTTTTTTTTGACAAAAAGTGTGAGTGATTGGTAAAATAGATATTTGATTTTATATGAATCATAGAAATTCTAGGATGAATACTGCGAGATTAGAGTTATGGTTCTTAACCGACCATGCAACTTTGGCCTAATGTTCTTTATCAAATAAAGTTGTCCTGGCTAGGTTCGAATTTCATATTTGAGGAATATCAAATACCTTATAAAATTTCTCATGGTTTTTTGCATTTTGACTTAACCGATGGACTCGTGTGTATTCTTGTTCATAATTGAATTGGTAAAATTATATTAGATTTTGAAAGGAGGGCAATTTTTGTAATTATGTCTATATTTGGTATGCATGAGTAAACTTACTTTGTTAACTCCATAAATTGTATCAGTTAAAGACGTAACGCCTCAGGTTCAAGATGTGGTGCCTAATTGTCCCCGATATTTTCCTGCATCATTTTATCTTAATTTTGGAGTTCTTATGATTGAGTCACTAAAAGGAAGGTGCATTTTGTTAGTATATGTAATGATTATTAATTCTTTTAAGCTTTTCTTAACCATATTTTCATGATCTTTGGATCCCTCTCTCTTGAATATGGTACCGTTTTAATCATGTACCCCTCATCTCTACTTGCACGTCTCATGCTCACCAACTTCCACTTGGTTCGTCCTCAAACCACATCGAACTGAGAGATGTTGCATTCTGATACCATATGTAATGCCCTTGGCCCAGGATGCCGAACCCTGATCTGGATCCTGTGACTGGGGTGTTACAAAAAATTATTCCAACTTTTGAAAGAAAAGCTTATAATTTTTACCGAGCAAGTTCTACAAACTCAAATTTCCTAAAAATACAAAGCCAAATTTCTTAATATTCTTTTTTTTTATAGCACAATAATTGGTGTAATGGAACCAAAAAAAATAGTAGATGCCAATTACTGTTGTGCTATGCTAAATTTCTTTTAACTGAGAACTTCACAAATTCAAGACTAATAATAAAATGGTAGTTAAAATGAGAATTGATCGATAAGAGGGGCAAAAGTGAGAATGCAATGGATCCACGCACACAAAACTCTCTTCAACAAATAATTGAAATCCTAGTTCAAGTAGGAGCCAGGCCTAAGCATTTACAACCCAACCATATCCTCCATCCATTTTAAAAGGAGACGCAATTTCCGAAAGAATTACTAATTTAGAACGCTTTTAAGATATGTTTGAGGGTGAGTCAAAATGATTTTTGCCATTTTTTAAAATCACTTGTCAAGCGTTACTATTTTAAATAAAAGGGACAAAAGTGATTTTCAAATATGCCCAAATGTTTGAGAATGAAATTACAGGTGATTTTTGAGTTGATTATTTTTAGTCCTATTCTTTGTGTTGTTTTCTAAATTGTCTCTAATCTTTTAAAATTTTTAAACAAGCCATTCTAATTGGGGTAAATCATTACGAGTAAGTTACAAGAATTGGGTAGGCTTTTCGATTTTTCGAGTGAGCAAATTACAAGACATTTTCAACTCGGTTAATAAAATATATTTTTACACCGCATCATCATCATTTTGTCCAAAATTTTTAACATTCTGTAACAGTAAAAACTTGACTGAAACAATCAATATATAAATCATCCAATTGAAAATTTTCCAAAGGTACAAAATTTAAAAATGACCAAAAGCTTGGAGATACAATTATATATATTATATTTAGAGCCCCCAGTACATTAAATTACAAAATTCAATATTTTATTTTATTTTACTTATTTATTTATTTGTAAAAACTCAACTTGGTCTTAATAGATTTCACCACATGCAAAATTAATGGCTATTATGTGGATAATAATAAAGAAGAATTTAGATAAAATTATAAATGTTGTAAGAATTATTTTCTTAGACCAATAGAAATTAGAATGTGTAGCCTTTTGTTTTTATATATAATGGTAGTTCTTGGAGAAGTCCATATGGAAAGTGCAATTATTCTTATTCTTAGATATCCAAAACTTCAATTTCTCATCTTTCTAGACACCATAGGCCACCCTTAGATTAATAATTAGAGGTATTTAATGAGTTGGATCGAGCTACCATTATAATTGTCCATTTAGCAATAACAAATATTTACTAGACGTCACTTATCTATATATGAATAACATTGAAAAATTAATTACTAGTAAAATAAGCAATCGTATTACTAGAGGGTAAATATGTGAATTTAAAAGTAATTATTTTTAGAATTTTTTCTAAAAGTAATTTTATTGATAAGTATAAGAAAATGTATTATTTCACTCTATGTTTAACCCATTAATTTTTCATCATTAAGGGATTATTTTGGTGATGAAGCACTATTTTCGTGGGTAATGAAGAAAAATGGAAAATTTACGGTTTGTTTAGTAGAGAATTAAAATGATGTTTCATGTTTTGAGATTTACTGAATCAAATAGATTCAATAAATATCTGTTTCACACSGTTATTTTTTGAAAAGGATCCGATACACTAATCTAAATATTGGAAATTCTGTAAACAATATTTTAAATTTTTTTCTTTTTTATGTTTTCAGTATTTTGAGATTTTGAATCCAAAATTTTAAAATACATAATTATATTTAAAAAAAACTTTGATAAATACGTTATAAACTTATTTTATTTTTTTTTGAAAATGAAGGCATGTAAGATATAATATTGTAAAATACTCATTCTAACCCAATTTTAACAAATTAATTAATAACATTTTAGATTAAATTAAATATTTAGTGGGTAACCAATGACTCACACTGTCCCGTGCATTAAGGTGGCAACCATGCCTTTCGAACGCAACGCCCGTCTTCCAAATCAAAAAAAAAAATGGGCTCGTTGGGAAGAAAGATGGAGTGTGGCATGTAGATCCGACTTCCCCAAAGCCTCCGGTAGCACAGCCGAGACAGCGATGGGTTCTCTACCCTTGTGGGGATGAAGCGACAGAAGTTTTGAGAATGAAAGAGAAGGTCACGGTGAGATGAGCCGTTTATCATCACGATAGGTGTCAAAAGTGCAGTGATGTATGCAGCTGAGGCATCCTAACGGACCGGTAGACTTGAACCTTTTGAATATGAGTTTCCATTGTTATATTAAAGTRTTTTGTCTCCTCCCAAGGTTATCAAACACAACTTTTATTTTCTATAATACTCATGAAATTCATCAAAAAGAGCGCAGTACTTCGAAGCAAATAAACCATGATGCATCATCATTTTTTTTAATATTATATATAATTCATATATGATGGTCGGTAGTTTGAACTATTAACTTTTAGAGAATGTTACTAATATATATCTTAATCAATTTATTAACTAGCTAAACTAAGATGGACTGATATTTATCATTATTTGAATCCATTTCTATATTTTGTAAACAAAAAGGAAGAAGTAAAGGATTATACCTTAATATTAGGCTCTAATATATGCACCTACAACTGTATATGTATATATATAGAGAGAAAAATTGATGTATATATCAATCCATCAATAGATATAATAACTTGTTTGGAATATAGAACAATAACAATGATTTTGATAATATATATATATATAATAAAAATATTTAAAGTGCTTACTATTATTCAACACCTATGTTGCTTTTAACCGTCCCTAAATATTTGATAGATCTTTATTTAAAAAAAGAAAATACATARCATCTCTTATTTCACATTTCTCTCTCGTACATGTTAAAATTTTAACCACAGTTAACAACGATAGATACTAACCAACGAACATTTAAATATTATTATTATATAGTCAATGTGTTCAAATTGAGAGAATAGAATATAGTAATTTATGTAGCAAGGCGGCTCCACTTGATATATGAATTTAGGAGTTTTGTCGTCCAAGTCAATTTCTCTCAACTTTCCCTTCTTCTTCCTTTCTTTTTCCTTTCCTCAACCTAATTTAATCCCTTCATCTCTCTTTCCAAATACTATTTTCATTTCTTCCGATCGCCGGATTTCATGGAAATGGAAGTGGTTCTTCCACTTCCTCCGGCCGGCGACTTCTTCAACTTCGCCGCCCCTTCCTCCTCCCACTATTTTACTGCTCCCTCCACCCCTCTCCCGCCTTTTGCTGCTGCCGCCTCCGTTAGTGCTCCGACTAGCCCCTCCCACGTCGCCTCCAACTTCTTCTGCGACCTCGACCTCGATATCCCGATCAGCTCTCCCTCCACCGTTCCTTTCCGGTGGGAGGAGAGGCCCGGAATCCCCAAATCGCCGAAATGCTCCGGAGAAGACTTCGAGTTTGATTTCAGCGGCCAGTCGGCGAACAAGGCTTCATTGTCGGCCGACGAGCTCTTCGATGGTGGTAAGATCAAGCCGCTCAAACCGCCACCAGGGTTCCAGGTGAATGATTACAAAATCTGCCTTAAATTACCACTCAATTTAAAAATTCTAAATATTTTTTGGATTTAGTTAGTCATTTGGGATTTGTTTAGTAATATTTTCGTTTCCAATTTTTTGAATTTAGTTAGTAATTTTTGATTTGTTTAGTAATATTTTCGTTTCCAATTTTCTTAAAAAATCTAAATAATGGTTATTGTTTCTTTGTTTTTTAACCTTTTCAGATTTTAGAACGAAAACAAATTTCTTATTTTTTATTCTCATTTTCAATTTATTTCAAAAAATTATTTTATTCTACTTGAATTTATAAATATTGAAATCATCTCATTTATTTTTGTTTATTAAAAATGAGTAAACGAAACAAGAAATATAAAATAACTGCTTTACATTCTGGCGTTTTTCAATTATTATACTTTGTTTTTATATCATCAAGCTTGTTGGCAAATTTAAGAGGAACAACTAAACCACCCAAAAGGAAAAAGCTGATATCTTCAACTTGTCAATGTTAAATTTAATCTTTTATTCATGTTCTTAGCAGTCGAGCTTATCATCCCCGAGATCGCCAAAGCTGTCGCCGCGAAACAAGAACGACATTGACGAAGATCCATTTGAAGCAGCGCTGATAAAAGAGACGAGAAGCCATAGCAGCAACTACGAGCTTTATGATGATCCGCAGAACAGAGGAAGAAGAGACAACAAAATCTCATACATTTCCTCAAATTTCGCTCGAAAAGCCACTCGATCTCTTTCCCCTTTCAGAATCTCCTSTCAAACCGCCGCGTTCGACGGAGCCGCCGCCGACGCCGTCAAACCCAAGTCGTCGGCAATTTCTTTTCCCAAAGCCAACAGATCAAAATGGAGGCTGAGGGACTTCCTTTTTCGCAGCGCATCCGAAGGCCGGGCGACGGAGAAGACAAATTACGTCGTAATGTCCAAAAAAGTGGACGACGACGTGAAGAATTCCAGTTTCCGGTCGGCCGACGGCGGCGGCGGTTCGATATTTCATTTCATGACGCCGAACCGGGCGGTCTCGGAGGAGTTGAAGAAGAAGAGCTTTTTGCCGCATAGACCGGGTTTTTTGGGCCGGTGCTTGCGGTTTAACCGGTCCGGTGTGCAGGAGATGTCCAGAGGCATTGGGTCATTGACACGTGGATGAACCGACCATATATTTATATAAATTTTTATTTTTACTGTCTGGGTTGATTAAGGTAAGAGAGTTGTTTTTTGAGTGTTTGACACATTAATAAATCTTAATCATATAGAAATTGGTTGAAGTTGTAAGAAAATGAAGATATATGGTTAATAAGAAAGAGTTTGGGAGTGTATATATATATATTTGAAATTTATAGGTTATATTACAAATTTGGTTCATAAACTTAAAGTGACTTGTAAATTTTATATTTTRGAAAGTTTATGCATACTTTTAATTTTATGTCTAATAGATTTCGATCATGAACTTCATTATTTTAACGTTGTATTGACCCATTTGACTTGAAAATGTTTAGGTTTTGCTCAAATAACCTGTCATTCGAAAATTCACTTTTATGATCCAGGTGATAATTTAAAAAAAAAATATAAATTTACCATCATAACCCTGATTCCAGATTTTGCATGGAATTCGAAGGGATTTATCAAACCGTTTCTCTTCCCCTTCATCTCTCTTAACAACACCAGCCTCCCTCCGTTCTCTCCATCTCACTCTCTTCTAATGCTACTTCTCTTGCAATCTCAATCTCGCGGTGTCTCTGACAAYCGAGTATCCAATGGCAGCAGCGCAACCCAACGGTGGCGAGATCTGGCAGCATAGATGACTCGCGACCCCCTCGCGAACTCCCTCACAACAAAGACTTACAGGAGCTCTCCCACGGTTGAACGAACTCGTGTGTGATTTGGACGAACTCGGGCGGGTTTCATACAAAATCCTCAAATCAAACAATCCTTCAATTGTCAGAAAACCGCTCAACATAAAACTAAATCCTCATATAAAAATTTCCCCTGAGCTCCCTGAATCAAAACTAAATCCTTCAATCGCCAATCGTCAACGTTCAACAAAAACTATCAATCGAAGAAAACAAATCGTTTTACTTATAATAATGTCAAGACTAAGATAATTGAATTAATCGGTAAATGAATGAAATCAAATTATCTCAAAGATTCAAAACTGCTGACAAAATATGGCAACAAAATTTCCTAGAAAACTAGTAGTCTCGAGGAAAATATGTTGTAATCCTAGAAAATTTGGAAAATCAAAATCTTAGGGCGCAAGAAAACAAAGAGAGAAAAAAAAAATAAAAGACGAGTGTAATGGTCTTGAGGGACTCCCTTGTAATTTCACATTGTTTGCAAATAAATAAAAAATTAGTTTAGGTCGGGAGAGTAAAACCTAAACTTTTTAGGTCAARTTGGTCAATTTCCCTGTAAATTTCATATTTTGGAATGTTTATGCATACTTTTAATTTCATGTCTAATAGATCTCGATYGTGAACTTCATTATTTTAACGTTATATGACATGCTAACTGTATTATTTAAGGATTACRTTGTGATGGTTTGATTTTGAATAGATTCAGGTTGTGAGTGATGTAATTATTAAACTAACAAGAGTAATCAATGTGAACCTATATTGACTTTAAAGTGAAAATTTAAAGCTTATTAGAATCTTCTTTTAAAGTATTTTCTCAAAAAAAAAAAAATTCTTAAAGTAGAAAACTATTTAAAAAAATGTTTACGATTAATTTAAAATATTTTAAAAAGCAACTTAGTTATTGTTGATCCARTAATTTGGTCTCTTGGGATTCCACCAAATTCGCACCCGGGTCGCGACGAGACCTGCAAAACAGAATAACAAACCAGCTACACAGGCTCYGATAATTAAGTCAGAATCAGAATAATTGAGTATAAAGTATTGGATGTTGTGTGCATCTCAAATAGTAGCGATTTGTATCATGATCCTTCCAGRCATTGTGGAAGATAGAAATCTGGTTATCTGAATTTAGGGAGATCTTTTCCTTTTGAATACAGATATCTTTCATGAATTTGAAGACCATCAAAATATCTTCCATTTTGAACCCCTTTGAAAATTGGATTTTCTCATCCATAATGGTGTTATTAAAAATTTTATTTTAAAGGGCATTTCCTTAAATTATCTCCCACTTATTCTAAATCGGACTCTTCCTTTTGGAATGTTCTTCTCTCTACTCAATTAGCATTGTTTTGCTGAATTTAATGACATATTTTCTTAAATGCATGGAAGCTTCCATGAATAGTTTTATATTAAAATTGAGTTAGTTGGTAAAGATAATATTGTTGTTGTCAAGTTGATAAATTTTGACTATGATATATTGCTAGTGGTGGGAGGGTTAGAAATGAAATTAATGAAATTTTAAGAGTAATTTTGGTATTATGTTTAAATCATTTTGATGTGTAACTTTTGAGGAGGTATATATACCAGGGAAAAAATAATCCCTTGATTTTATATTGATTATATAGCACTTTAAAAATTAAAAATTAATGTACATTTGAAAAGAAATTTAGAAATTTTAGAAATTTTATTTAATTTCTTAAGACGATGTCATAATTACAGRTTAGAAATCATCTTTTTAAAGAGACTCATGATTTAGTATAATTATGAGATTTTAACTTTTTAATCCTCTTTTAAATGATATTTGTATGTGTTTGATTATGCATCAAAAGTAAWTTTTCTTAAAAAGTAGTTATTGGTAGGTTTGAATAGCTTTGTGATAAAGTAAAATTTAAGTTATTTTTTCTTGAAATGAAAACATTGGTTAAATATTTCATTCAAAAGCATTCAATTTTTTATTATTTTTTTTTAAAATGAGCTTATCTATGTAAACACCTATAAAAAAAATATGTTGAGAAAAGATCTTTTTAGATTTAAATCTCATTTTAGTAAATCAAAATCTAATATTTAAAGCATTTTTGTTCCTAAACCTTGAATATGTTTTATTTTAGTTCATAATGTTCTACTTCAATTTCTATATTAAAAAAAAATCATTAACCATCATTTAACAAAAAAAAAAAAAATCAAATTTCTTTTTTTTTTTTAAAAAAAAATTCATGACGTTTTTTGTATTCAAGCCATACACACGTCTTTGTGTTCAAATTTGGAGGCTTCTACTATCACATACCATGAGTATTGTATTCGAACCTTACGTTGGTCGTAGTGTCGTTGTTCAGACAACGAACTCCAGTTATAAGAATCCACTTAACAAAAGCGATATGACATCAATTTCAGAAAAAAAAAATTCTTTTGAAAATCTGATACAATCCTCCATACGGATGTAGTCCTAAACATCTTTCATTTTTTATCTTTTTGTTTTTGTTTTTTTTTTTTGTATTCCATGTGAAGTTTTCTTCAATAATATTTTTTTATGCTATAAATTCAGGAAGCCAAGACAAAACGTTTGAGAACTTAGAGATCCAAATATAAGATTTAAACCTACTTTTTATCACTTGAAAGAGTTGTAATTATGATAAAGTGATGAGAAAATAAACACTCAATAAATGTGTAGTTTAAAATAAACACTTAATAAATGTGTAGTTTAAAATAAAGCACACACTTTTTCAAAAGTAATTCATTGGATGCTATAATCATGATAGAGTGAAGAATGGACCCATGCAATGCAATCATATAATTACCATATAAACACTAAAAAGAAAAAGAAAAAGAAAAAGAAAAAAGAAAATAAAAAAAAGTTGGATTTTTTCCATAACCCACCAACTCCTTTTTTATCTTTTTGCCTTTTGGAAAAATTAATTATGAACTCGAGATCAGCTAAATTAAAGTTGCATAAATCTTGAGCACGAGGTGCATGCACATAAAAGAAGCTGCCAATGCCAAGAAAAAGAGACAAAATTAAAGATTGTAAAAAGAGAATGCTTAAGTTTAATTCCATTTTGGTTCATGATTTCTCATAGAATTACTGTTTTAGTTTGGTATTTAATTTTGAACTTGATTTTAGTTGGATCTTGATTTTTTWAAAAAAATTAGTTCAGTAGATTATAATCTTCATAAATAACCATGGTTATAAAACAATGTGTTATTAGTAGATATATGACATTTTCTTTTGCTCGCATTATATCATTTGATCTTCGTACCCAAATGAATATAGAAAGATTCATGTTCATTCCTATACGCAATCTCTTTCTTATTTTATTCACAAACTCGCATCATTGTTATTTTATTATTATTTTTTACGAACTCTCAAATCATAGGATAAATTTAAAATTGTAATCTTATCACCCATTCCACCTCTTTCTCTGTCACATAAAAATGTGTAAAATAAGAAAATTTTTGTCACCTAGACATTTTGCTAGAGCTAAAATACATTATAGGATTTTTGAAAAATTATTAAAGACTTGTCTTAAAAAGCATGACCTTTTAAAAATATAATATAAAAAATCATTATTGGTGGCTCATTGATCCAAATGAGTTATGGTTAATTGAGAGGAAATGAGTTTCATTTCCCACGATAGCCACCTACCTGTGTTTTCTAAAAAGAAGTGAACGAGAGCAAGATTTTGAAATAATTATGAACTCAATAAGATAATAATTTCTAAAGAACTTCAATTTTGTGTAGAAAAAGAAAACTTTGAAATCAAGATCCAAATTAGTAATTCTTACATGTTTCTTGAAAAGAGAAAGGAGAACAAGGTTTCGAAATAATTATGAACTTAATAGGATAATAATTTTTAAAGAACTTCAATTTTTTGTAGCGAAAAAAAAAATCAAACTAAATTGCTGAAATCAAGATCCAAATTAATTTATATAATAAAACCTTGTGCAATAAACAACCAAGCCGACAATTTATGACCATAGAACAAGAATTGCATTTTATATTTGCCACCAACCCACTTAGGATACCTCCAAAAGAACAACACTATACCATTAATATAATACAATCGCCATGATAAAATTAAAATAATAATAATAAAAAATCTTTTAATGAATACTAAATTACGGTTAAATCTAAATAGTTTAAATTGGATCGAGTTTATTTAATTTTTAAAATATATTTTGAAACATTTTCTCTCATTTGTGGTCTGAAAATTAGTATGAGATTCAACCGTTAACCTGTGTGAATGCTAAATCTTAAAGCTTAAACTAATAAATTAGAGTTGATATTTAATAATCTTAATATATTCTAACCACTAAAAAATTGAAACCATGAACTTTGTTAAGATATAGTTAGTTTACCCCTAAAATTCCACGTGTGTTTTCTAATTTGAAATTTAAGTTATATTATAGTACAAAATTTAATCAGAAAACCTTTAATAACTAAAACTTAATGTAGCTTTTTTTTTTGGGATATTTATGTGTAAGAATGAATTGAGATCTAGAATGTTGATATATGGAGGTG